CATTCACCTCAAATATCTTATTGGTTATATTGTATCCAGGAAAAGCAAAGGAAAATGATTCTGTATTATACGGTAAAATTATAGATCTTTTATTTTCTAAAGTTCTGCCCCGATAGAGTCCCATCTGGTCAGAATTGTTTAGGTAAAATCTTTCAGGAAATAAGAAGCTTGGGGGGAAAAGCCCTCTGGAAATGTGCTTTGATGTTTCGATTCTCTCTTCAGGTGACAAATTTACTCTACAGACCCAAGTCGATTAGCTCAAATGTTATTTAGAAATATTTTCTGCATGGTATACTGAATTGTTAATACCATATCACTCATGGTTGAAGATACTATACAGCTGCTTACAAACTGACAAGAAAAATACACAGGTACAAAGTTCTGATTATCAGACTGTTCTTGCCTAGTAGTAGGTAAGAATCTTACCTAGTAGATTTTTTAAAAAACTGCCAATTCTTTGTTTTTCTAAGTTAACTGTGTTTTATTTAATGAAATGTAAAAAAAAAAACAAAAAAACACAAATGAAGCAAACTTCCCCCCAAGTTCTTGGTGTATCTGTATTATAATAGCTAAACTTTACTAAGTATTCACTAGGCGCCAGGCACTGTGCTTAGATCTTTCTATATAAAAATTTCTTTGAACCTTACAGAAACTCTTAAGAGGCAGGTACCACTGAGGCCCCTATTTTATTAATACTCAGAGAACCTGACTCCTGTGTCAAAAGTAGGGTAGAAGATGGTGAAGCCAGGATACAACCTAACATCAAGACTGACCTCAACTCGCGCAGTAAGAATTCATTGCCTCCCTGCTTTGATGAGAAACTGAAGTCAACAGAACATGATGTATTAAGTAAGTGTTTAATGTTAAAAATTACCACTTAATAATCACACAATTAAAACATTCATTTTGTATTGAAGCATTTTATTACATTGCTATTTAACTAGTGTGTCTTGACACGATAGCTGTGTCAGCTAAGTGTGTATCTATGAAAGAACACAACTTTTTTTGGAAATTTACACCATTCACAGGTTTACATTCAAAAGTACCTACACTTTTATTAAACTAAAAGAAGAGTAAGTAAAAATTCACTACAGGGAGAAATAAGGCCCCTCATTTTGCAGCTTCTCTCACAATGACCTCTGCAGCAGACCCTCTCCTCGTGCTGTAACAAGACACTTCATGGGCTGTTCATTTAAAAATCCTGTGCAAAATGTGACTTTTAGATCGTGTCTTTGACTTTTGTTATTTTTTCCCCCTTATTTTAATATCTGTGTTAAATGAACCAAAAAAACTGCATGCAAATTCTTTCTTCCTATTGTGGATTTTTTTTTTTTATTTCAGCATATTATGGGGGTGCGGATGTTTAGGTTATGTATGTTGCCCTTGCCCCCCAAGTCTGAGCTTCAAGCGTGTCCATCCCCTGGATGGTGTGCATCGCACTCTGTGTGTATGCATATACTCGTCCCCTCCTCCCCCCTGCCCGACATCCAATAGATGTTATTCTTGTATGTGCACTTAAGTGTTGATCAGTTAATACCAATTTGATGGTGAGTACATGTCCTATTGGGGATTTATCAGACTCATTAATCTCTTGAGCTCTATGACAGCTTACAAAGCTTGAATTCACATTTTTAGAATCAATGCTATTAGTGATAACATTATTATGACAATATTTTACAGTTTTTAATTTTCAATATTCAATAAATGTTAAGGCCTTAATCCACAATGGAGGTAGTTGTAATTTTATAGTCCAGTGATTTTATAGGTTCATCAGTCTTTCTTTATATGAGATACTTAACTATTCAAAATAATTTTATAGTAATAAAATGGTTTTTACTTTTATTCACAGGACTGATACTCTCTTCCACTCCCAAGTTGATTATGGCCTTAACGGGTCTTTGAAGACGGCGGAGACAACTATAAACCATCACGATGTCATGAAATGGACCCATTCTGAGGACCCTTCCGCCCCACCGCGGTAGGACTTCAATCCCAGCATGAATATGCTTTTGGGGTCCAACAAAATCAGTTATTAAAAATGTCCTGTTTAAGAAACAATATCTGGAAATATAATCTATAGAAATCATTTTTGGTTGCATAATTATGTGCTGATTTTACACCGTCTCTGATGGAGAAGCTGTCGGACTTAAGGGCTTCGGCAGCACCGGACTGACCACTGCCCGTGGTCTAGGAGTTACCTCTGGTGGTGGTGGCCGAAGAAGCGGACGTCCACTTGATTGTCCTCTTTCTGCATGACCTTGGCCGGCCAGAACCCGAAACCTTTCATTTTAGCCCAGACCAGCTCATGATTAGGTATCTGGAAATAAAATGTTTTACTTTGTTATACTATTTACAAAGTATTACTTTTAAAGGATAAAATGCAAGTATACGATTAATACTGAACTTCTTAGTCTAGTATGATCTATTCTTTTGAAAATATTTCTTTTGTAACTCTAAACACATAAGATTTTTTCCTGGGATTGGTTGATTTTACTTTCAAGAAAAACAGCAAAATATTCACATTTGCCTAAGAATACTGCTATGAACTCCCTTCTCAGCAGACGCAGGAATTGGAATGAGGCGGCCACACTGGCACACAAGAATGAAAGGAAAAGCAAAAAGTCACTTTATTATCTATTAAGGGACCCAGTGCTTATTCTTACTAAATACCTCATTTTAAAATCAGAAATGGATAGATATTCTTCCTGTATTTCAGTTATTTATACTCATTAAAACCATACATACTACGACATAAAGAAAATATTTAGGAAGGATTATAATCTTTAAGGAAACTGGAAATAAACTTTCTTAGAGCAAAACTTCATACACTTGAAATGATAAAACTCAAAAACCACAAAATTTCACATACACAAGGATAGCAGAACCAATTGTCAGGACGAGCATTTGACAAATAGAAGCAGTTCTTGCAAAGCTGTAGTTCATCCAGCTGAAAAAGAAAACCAGCTATTTTAGCCTACATAAAATATACATGCGCATTAAACTATGTAAAATATATTCATGTAAATTAATATGTACATAGTCTTGAGTTTTCTTCCTCATATAATCCTTTAAGGTTAAATTTTAAATTTTTCAATACATAATGCTGGAAGACTCTGTGGTCTCTCCCTGGTCTCAGACAGCACTAGGAATCAGCCGACCCCTCCTGGGCCTGCTGGACTCCGCTCGGCCCCAAGACAGGATGTTCCCCCAGAACCGTCTCTCTCATCAGGCTACGCAATGTCCAGGGACCGTCGTCCTCAGTTTGCCTCATTCTCCATTTTAGTCTCTTGCTTGTTTCACAACCTTTTTTTTTTAACAACTTGTAAAGAGACATATTTTATCTGTTCCTTTTTTTCTTGTCCCGCTCTTCAGAATACCACCCCATGAGCAGGAAGCCTGCACCCTGCCCGGCACATAGTAGGCATTCACTAAATACCGCTGAATGAATGAATAAAAAGCAAAAGTCAAATCTGAAATGAATTCAAGAAACAAAACTTTTTATAGAAACTGAGGAACTTTTGCAGATAATACAGTTACAGGTAAGTGTTTCAAATATGAAAGACTACCAAAAGTATACTTCCTTGACTGTATTTCATTTATTGTATAAACTTAACTTTGTGGTTTGGTGGTTTTTTGCCTGTGCCATCTAGAAGGGACACAAATCCGAATCCTTCACTTACTCAGGAGGGTGGCATTCGCGTGCATTATCTAATACAACTCTGCAGGTAGTTGAAAGTTTCCTTGTACAAGTTACTTAGTAACTAACCTGACTCCCAGGATTTCTCTTTGAACAGTTTTGCCAGAAATTTTATTTTCTCTATTTATTTCCCATGTATATCAAACATGAAAATACATTTAAAGGAAATAGCGTAATTAAGATGTGCACAAGAAGAGTGGACAGTACCTCATGGCATGTGTCTTTATAAAGCATCCTCGCGATGTCCGCTTGCTCACTGTCTGCTGTAATTAAAGACAGATATTACCCATGAGCAGTAATCTAGAAATAGAAGACTATAAAAAGTAATAGTCATTTTCTTTTCTTTCAGTTTGCAAAAGTGGATATATGCCATTTCAATCCAAAATGTGCGTGTGTGAGAGAGGGTCTTGCTCAGTCGCCCAGACTGGAGTGCAGTGGTGCGATCACAGCTCACTGCAGCCTCCAACTCCCAAGCTCAAGAGGTCCTGCTCAGCCTCCTGTGTATCTGGGGCTACAGGCGTGCACCACCACACCCAGCTAATTTTTAAATTTTTTGCAGAGACAGGATCTCACTGTGCTGCCCAGGATGGGCTCGAACTCCTCACTTCAAGCTATCCTCGTGCATTGGCCTCCCAAAGTATTGGGATTACAGGCGTGAGCCACCACACCCAGCCCAAAGTGTGCATTTTAAATAAAGTTAAGGCATCAAAATAAAATTCTATAGGCAGCTTTTACTTTACTGCCAACGCAATCACTAATTCTAAGGTATAGACTGACCTTACCTTTGAATGACAGATACTCATGGGTATAACTGAAGTGTTTATAAAAAGCCTCTCAGCTAAAACAAATATATATGAAATCATAAGGAATAAATATATTTTCACAATTTAGTGTACTAAAAGTTTGCCTTTAGCCGGTGAATTCCATAAGGTATAACTCTATCACCAAATATTCTGAAATTTAAACCAGAACATTATTATTTACTTATAGAGATCGTTAAGGCATTAATTTTTTGAATGTAATGTTTTAAAAGATATTTTCAGAAATGCACACAAAAGAAAAAGATGTTCAACCTCCGTAGAAAATCACGGTGTTGTGGAGAAGCAGCTGTGCGTCGGCTTTGAACTCCTCGTAGCTTCGGTACTTCCCCTCGTTCACTTTCTGCAGGGGCGAGAAACAGAGCGGCCGAAGAGTCACTAGCGAGACACTGTCTGGGTTATGTGCACGGAGCTTTCCGGAAGACCCCTGCCGTCCGCAGAGTTGACAGAGGACAGGCGTGAGAGAAGCCAGCAGATTCGATACCGCAGGGCAGCGAAGTGGGCCGACCGAGGTCCTGCAGCCACGCGTGCTCCCTGGGAACTTGCCGGAGTGGACTTCCTGGCTTGGCCACTCCGCCCCGCAGCAGTGACGGGAGCTGCCGCTGAGCTTTAAAATCACGGATGCCTGATCAGCGCGGGTGGCGAGACCCTAACGAGGCACCGTTCTTCACGGCACAGGAGAACCGAGATTACAGGTAGAACCGTCAGCCTCTGTGACAGTTCACCACACTCACCGAGACACATTTTTAATTCTGGATTGGCACCAGGTGCTGACCTACAAATAATCTAAGACAAAGTCTCGGGCGTTCCTCCACGTACCACGGCAATGCCAGGGTTTCTCCTACGTCAGGGCAACACGTGTGAACGGTTCTCCTTCCCTGGAATCTCTGCAGCTTTGCCTTGGGCTGCCCGAGGGGATTACAGAAGAAATCTGAGGGATTTTGGGGGCATAAGTGGGCAACACTTTTGAAGTGGGGTACGACAAAGTCATCTAGAAGTAGCCAGGAAGCATTTTCTTATCCTGGTGATACAATCAGGAAACTGGCTTGAAAACTGCTTGTAAGGCTAAGGCCTCCCGTTCCCTGCCTTTGTGCACACAGTTCCAGCCCATTGGAGCCGAGACCCAATTCCATTGCCATCTCTTCCATGAAGGCCTCCCAGATTCTCCCAGTTGGAGTCACCTACTTCCTGGGTGGCATGCACAGTGATGTGGGTTATTTACAAATACTGATACCTGAGTTCCAGCCCTGAATTTCTGGGTATATCAGGCTACGGTAAACTCAGGCACTCGTATGACTCAGGAGCTCACCCGGGGGATCCACAGTACACCCGAGTCGAGAGTAACCTCCCCACACGCTCAAAGCACCTTGTCTTGAGTTGTGCACTTAATCGTGGCTCACGTTTTGGTCTGGGTTATAAACTCCTGAAAGTATAAAGGACATGTCCTCCTAATGATTTTCCCTGCAGTACTTTTGCTCCGAGCACTTGCGAAGCGCAAGGCCAAGACACGTTAACCAGCTAGCGCTGGTCCAGGTCCACATGGATCGGACGGGCCCAGAATGGGAGAACAGGGCAGGGGGGCCGGCTCTCGCGTGTTCTTCGCAGCCCAGGCATAGCCTTTCCTGCTACACTGCAAGGCCTCTGACGTCCGGGGGTGCGTGGTGGTAACATTAAAATCACTTGTTTTGTTCCAGGATTTGCTCGCTACTTTAAGGGAATGACTTCCACATACCTTTACCTTAAATTGAAGTAACACAGCCATGATCTTCCTCAGCTACTAAGGGAATTAGGGAACTTGTAAATGATTTTGAAATTATTCCCATGGTCTCCCTGTAGGCTGTTATGGCCAACCACGTGACACACAGGCGCAGAATGAGTAATTCAGCAGCCCTGACTGGAAACATGTCTGTGTGTCTTCTGGATTTTGTTTTAATTTGTAACTGAGTCTTTACAAACTCATTAATAATCCCCAGCTACAGCAGGTGAAATTAAGAACTTTAAAAAGTTTTCTAATCATAATCGTTATTTTGTTCATTCTATTGTTTCCCAAGACTGTAGATCAATTCTGTGCTCTACTTGTTCCCTGAGAGAAATTCCCTCACATGCCTGCTAAACCGAGACAACTGTGTCCGGAAAGTTCTTTACATCCGAAACACTGAATTGCCCAGGCTGTCGTGATTTTCTTTAATCAACAAGTATCGAGAAGCTAGAGGCTGCGTAAAACCAGCCTTCCAAAGACGACGGCTACTTTGCATTGAGTAAGTACCTGAAATTCACAGGTAACGATGCTTCATGCGGTAGCTATGCCTCCCCTTCCGTGTTAGTAAGAAAGTAAGTGCGCTCTCCAGACAGAGCAGCAGCCAGAATCGCCGCTTAACCGCTGAATCGTTCTTCAACCTGACAGTTAAGAAAATGTCCTTAGAGCGGAAACGAAGGCGACGACTCACCTCCTGTATGGTGGGCACGTCGACAGCCGAGTGCACCAGCCGCCGGTACATCGGGTGCTTGTTGTCCTTCCCCTTTTTGTTAAGGTCGATAGCCTGAAAGGTCGTCAGACACACCGATTTAAACGTGGCTGAAGAGAGACAGGTAAACAATTCCGAAACCTCAAAGTATCTTCTCCCTTTACAGAGAAACTTTACAGGAAGTACTTTAAAACTTAACAGAAAAATGTATATACACTATACAGTTTAATGTGGCATTCCTTAAGGTTTTGATGGAAAGAAGAGTTATTTTGAATAATTCCATTTCATTTTTTTTTCTTTTTTTTTTTTTGAGACAAAGTCTCACTGTGTTGCCCGGGCTAGAGTGCCGTGGCGTCATCCTAGCTCACAGCAACCTCAAATTCCTGGGCTCAAGTGATCCTCCTGCCTCAGCCTCCCGAGTAGCTGGGACTACAGGCATGCGCCACCATGCCCAGCTAATTTTTTCTATATACTTTTAGTCGTCCAATTAATTTCTTTCTATTTTTTAGTAGAGACGGGGTCTCGCTCTTGCTCAGGCTGGTTTCGAACTCCTGAGCTCAAACAATCCGCCCGCCTCGGCCTCCCAGAGTGCTATCCATTTCATTTTAAACAGTAATCATCAGTGAAAATGTTCATTCCGACAAATGAAATTTAAAAATGTGAATGTTTCTAATCTAATGCAGTTTTAGATTTTTTGTTTTGTCTTTGTTTTTGACACAGGCATTTCCCTAACAGCCTGTCATACAACCGTTTACTGCAGAAAAGAAACACGGCAGGGTGCTTCCCACACGCCACGCTGCCGTGCACACCTCTGTTCCTCTCAGCCCAACTGAGAGAACAGACCGGAGTGAGCGAGTCTCGTCAGATTTCGGAAGATCCCCTCCGGACTCACCCTCTCCTTCATGCGGGAGACGATGAATCTCAGGTATGTGCCCATCTCCTGTTTGTTCGTATTCTTCTTCTTAATGCTCTGTTGAAAAATAATATAAAGTCTGATCATTCATATGCCTACGTTCATGTAAAAGACATACAGTATGTATAGATTTTATTAAAAGATACACTATTTCCAACATATCTGACAGAAATCTTTTGATATTTGCATAACAAAATAGTATTTCACATGAGAATTATGAAATATTATGTTGTACTTTATATAATGCCTTAGGGAATTATACATTTTTTCTTTTTTTGTATTTTAAAACTTCACCCAATTTTCAGATAAAAAGAAATAGACATAATGGAGAATCACTTATTTTATCAAAAAATATCAATGAAGTCCATTAGGGAACATCCTACATTAGGAATATTGAATGGTGAATTTCAATGTAACATTATTCTTTGTTAAAAGGGTGGTTTAAAAAATCTATTTCACTTATTATATATAATATATAGTGTAGCTGCATACTGACACATCTATAACAAAAATTTTATCTATTGTGTTATGGATCTATTCAGTAATAACTGAAGAGTAAGTGCAAGAAGTCACTTTAACATGGTAAATACAGTAGAGGAAAGAGCAAACATTTCTCATATAACAGAATTTTTAGCTAGGGCTTCAGTAAACCGATTATACATACAACACACATATGTATGTATGCATCTATCATACACACATATTAAAATATCTGAATAAAAAGTGGGAAAACATTCTATTAGCCAGAAACTCAATTTAATTTCATGTATTAATGTCTGAGGTGCTAATCTCCTGGCTTCTGCTTCTTGCCTGGGTTCTCTGGCGACGCACAGACAGTCAAAGCTTTCTCCCCATGCAGCTTCGTGACTTCTGTGCGTAGCTTCTAAATTTATGCCAATTATAAAGCAGTTTTCCCAACCCTGGCCACGCACCAGGGACGTGGACTGAACTTTTACACCGTGCGGCTGGGCCTCGCCCAAGCACCTGGGCTGGAATTTCTGGAGGTGGGGCCTGTGGTCTGTATCTGTCTGCTCACCTAGGTATTTGTTGATTCCTCAGGTGGTTGTGATACCTGGCCCAAGAATGAGACCAATGGTCTGGTGCACCGTTTAAATGCAATGAAATTTCCTGAACCCCAGGATTATAATCTTTGGGGGAAGGGAAGTTGATATAGCTTGAGAATCCTCTCTCTCTCTCTTTTAAATGAACAGTAACAAATAAACTTAACTGAATTTCAAATGAGTAACACAGCCACATGAAGGGGGAAATGAACTCGTTCAGGTAATTTATGTGCACAGTACTTGGCCAAACGCACTGCTTACAGAGACAAGAACTTCGAACAAACATTGAACTCTAGTTAGTAAGTTCATTTCATCAGCAGCACTGGTTAGCAACTACCTTTTTTATAATTAAAAAAAAATCAAATTGACAAGATAAAAACTGTATATACTTATGGTATACAGCATGCTGTTTTGAAATATGTATATGTTGTGGAATGGCTAAATTAACCAATTATCATATATATCACCTCACATACATCATTTTTTTTTTTTTTTTGTGGTGAGAACACGTAAAATCACTCTCACTTCCAGCAAGATGCTCTCGTAGGTCAGACCACAGTAAAGGGTGATGTTCTACTTTGGCATTCTGCCTCTCACACAGGAACGCAAAGGAGCCCTCCATGGAGGCGAAGCGCAACCGGCTGCTACTGCGTTTGGACAAAGGCCCTTACCAGCCTGGACGTCCTTCGGTGACTGCTCCCTACACTAACCAGTCTGATGAACTGTCAGATGCACAGAGGAGAAGACGTAAGAGGAGGGTGGATGGCGGCTACTTTTTTCTTAGCTCTTATAAGATCTGTATTCCTTTAAAAAGAGGGAAGAACAAAAACAACTGCTTCTCGCTAGGTGGCCTACTATCATGCCAGCGCCAAAACGTTTTGGGCACACTATTAAAACTGCTGATTTCAAATATCGATCTTATCATTAAATTATGGATTTGTGTAAATTGCTATAACAATCTAAACCAGCTTAGAAGTCTTGTAATATTAATGCTATCAATAGGATTATGGTTGTTTTAATAGGAAACATACCATGCAGAGGAAATATCCAACCAACACTTTACGTAGTGCTGAAATATAATTTTAAACTTCACTAAATATTGTGCCCGGCCCCTCCATCAAGTAAGCAGGCCTCTCTGGATCTTCCTGTGAACGGGGCCAGCGCCGGGCCCCGCGGGCACCTCCGCAGCAGCAGGGAGGGTGAGTGAGTGCGGCCGACGGCCTCCCTGCACCCAGCACGAGGCACCGTGCACTGTCTTTTGCTTTCTTGATTTAAACATAAACCTATGAAGTGCTTCACTCTATTACACTGAATCTAACCTCTTGTTTATAAACCCTTAGGAAAGAAACCAAGCCAGAGTTTCTACATGGGCAAAGATCATGCACTGCTAGGTCCAGCATTAATACCACTGCAGTTAAAACATCCCAACCAGATTTTCTTTCTTTGAAACAAAGTATTGAAACCCTTTGGGAAACCCCTACTTTACTTTGGTTAAGTTTAGGTAACCTGTGCACTAATTTGTTCGTGTAATTACCCAGTTTAAAGAAAGGTCTATATTCAGTTCCTACTCTCTCTCGACAGAGAATCTACACAAACTGTGGATAGTACGCGCTCTCTCAAACTTCGGTTTTGTCTGTTCCAACAGTTTTAAATGAATTGCTAGTTTAGTGTGACCACGTGCAGCAACATTTCTTTATTTTGGGGAGACCCTGAATCTATAGAGTTCGTGCTGAGGGCCCTAAATTCACGAAAGTAAATGGCATCTTGGAGGATGAAATCTGATTTTGTGTCGTGTTTAAATTTGCTTAGAGTTAGCCTGCTAGGATATCTCTTTCCTTCTCTGAGTGCAATTAAAAGGGGTGATCCGAGCCTACAAAAATGACCATTTCGGCAAAGTGTGAAAGGAAACACGGCTGAATGGCCAAGGCCGAGCCCCTCTGCTCAGCTCTGTCTGATAAAACTGTCCAGAATCCTTCCAAAATAGAACCTTCATCTACTACTCCAGGAAAGTCTTACACCTCATGTAACAAAGTGCTACGCTGAGTTAGATGTCCTACTTCAGTGTTATTGCATTAGAACCACCTAAGAAGCCTTTAAAAACACCAACGTCTATTAATGTAAAGTTCTAGAAAAGGCAAAACTATCTGTGGTGGAAAACAGAACGACGGCTGTCTGGGGAAGGGGCACAGGACTGGGTGCCTGCTGGCCTGGGGACAAGAGTGAGCTTCCCGTAGCTCGACGGGACTATGACTGCCCAGGTCCCAAAGTCCCCAGGTGTTTGTCACGTACGGGTCTGACTGAGAAGCACGGCCGCGACTTCATGAGAGAGAATTCTTAACACGGAGACACACACCGGTGCACGGTTCCCATTTGAACAGGTGCAAAGTGGTGTATCTTCAAAAGTTGTCTCTTACGGGGGTCCTTTGGGGTTAACTTTTTCCTTTAAACCCTCACTCACCGTATCTCGTATGATCTCAGTCCACTCCTGCAAACAGAAATGCTTCTCTCTCACTACATGTGCCAAAAACGCTGTGGTGGCTGCTTTAAGTATCTGTTGGTTCTTTTCAGTTACTATGGTTAGAAACTTCAATGGTCGGGGCTGCAGAGAAGGACCGAACAAAAGGAGTTTCACAGCCAAAGAGGATAATTTTGTTAAAAGCTTCCATGTTACTTGCTATTTTCATTTTTTACTTGCTGCCCAATAAGGTGTCTTTTCTGGTGATAAATAAGGGATTCTATTCCAGACATTACAAAACCATTCTCAAGAACAGCTGGACAGTGCTCGGTGGCCCTGGACACACCCTTCTGTGACTGGCAGAATCTACTCAGGTTCACAGAACGTGCTTTCTTGGTGAGATGAAGCAAACGAGAGGCCCTCAACAGAACCAAGATCTCTCCCGATACTTTGTAGGAACAAAACATTTGCTGTGAGATGTGTTCACATTTGATCAGCTTTTGGGTTTTTCTTTCCAACTTTAAAGCTATAATTTAGAGATTCAGTACATCACAAAAGAAATCAACAGAGCATGGTCCTTTCTGTCCCAGGGCTGCACTGCAAGACTTCTGGGGATTTCTTAGGCAACACATGGTGGAGCCTTCTGTGGCCCTCAGAGCAAAGTGTTCGGATGGTGCCTGTCAGCCAAACCAGGACGTTTATAGTGGCTTGAGAAAAAGCTACTAGAACCAAGAGAAACCAAAGTAGCCACCTCTGAAGTAAACATTATTTTGTTGGTAACATAACTAAGCAGGTAGTTCCTGACAACAAGATCATAAAAACAATGCTCCATAATACTCGCAGATTATTTCAGATCAGTTCTCTCTCAGGCTTTGAAGAATTGTACCTATTCTCTACTTGCAGGCGCCGGATTTCCAGTAACAGCAATTGGGTGAGAACCCACCATAATCAAGTCCAGTAAATATCGCACCAGTTCCTATCACCTGGCAGCATAGTGGAGTGATTTTGGTCACCATTTACAGA